CTTGAGCATGTAGAATGGTACTTGGTCCCAATTTTTATATAAAACTTAAAAAAATGCTCCAAACTTCAATGAAAAGAACTTCCTCTTCACTGATGATATCCGGTGCTGTGCTCCATCCCATTGTACTTCCTGGTGCTTTTTGAAGCATTACTTTTGGAAACATAACTTTTGGAAACATAATTTTTGTAATACATAGCTTCAAGTTGCATTGGGAGAAGCACAGTGGGACTATATATTGAAATATAAAGACTTTTGGCTTTGTGAAAAGCGCTGATTAATAATCCAGTGTTGAAAACCAGCAGTTCTGTTTTGCCACTGTTTGTGTATCCTGTGATTAGCATTTGAAGATGTATTTCTCCAAACATGATGATTAGTGGGAAAACTGTATGGGCATGTTGTTATAGTTGCAGAATTTAACTGTTGTTGAATATCTGCTTGATTAATGAGCTTATTTTTCTAGATTTAAAGACAAAAGCAGTGTATTATTTCTTTGTATGTTATGCCTTCAAAATGTGTATAATTACTTTTCTGTAAATAACTGTATGCCAGGGGGGGGGGGGGGGGAAACGTTGACAAACTTGGCTTATATTTTTAAAAGGAGAAATGGCTTCTGTCCCATCTAAATATTTTTACCTTGCCCTGAGATAAGGTGTATTAATAAGAAATTGAATGTTTTTGATTAGGTACATCCACAGACCTGTCAACCCTGATGACCCTCCACTAGTTGAACAACCCAAGCCGCTGTATCCTTATCGCACGATAGGTTGTATCTTCAACCATCAAAAGTTCTTTGCAAATTGTCAGCCCTCTGACGCTGTGGAGGTCTGTGTGTTTGACCTGCATGATGAATCTAAATGGAAACCCATGAGTGGAGAAGCAATAAAATCTGTATGTTCCCCTGGAACAACATCTTCAGTTCTCCCTTTTCCTCCTCTGTGTGCTTCCACAATAGATGCTGCGGTAACAAGCAATGAGATTGAATTGCAGCTGAGAATACTGGTCTCTGAACACAGAAAGGTAATGCTGTTTAAAGATTGTCATTGATTTGTTGCAGTAGTAAAGGTGCATGTTTTTACTGTATGCTTGTTTTGGATAGCCATTTGTTAGTTCACCGACTCGTATCTTTGCAATGTGTTTTCCATCAGCTTTTGCAGAAATGCAGTATGTGAAAAATTAAATAACTGAAAAATTGTTTGGAAAGACTGTACTGAGCTAGTTTAGACGTCATACTTATTACGTGCAGTGGTGATTCTGTAGCCTCATGCGTGGGCTCTTCCACCCACCCTGCCTTTGCCTCTCATTCTAGGTCTGTGATCTTCAGTTTACCAGCACCTGCAGACCACCTGTGAGTGGTCTGCAAAAGCCAGGAAGATCAAATGTGGTTGTCAGCGGGCTTTGCCTATCCATCGCAAATGGTTTTGGTCCCTAGATAAAAGCAGGCTTTCAACTTTCATTATCTTACTCTGACTGCTTTACAAAATCAGAGGTGTTTCTAGAAGTTAGTTTTGCCCTTTATCAGAATTTTTATGAGACGTAATGCGCCAGAAATGATTCTTCCTGTGCTGGATATGAAGGAGGTGATACTTTAAATCCCTGTTAGCCTATCTCTGGTTTTAATGGGTGGTTTTGGTAGTTTTTATCTCGCACACAATGCTCAACCTTCGGGGTGGCAAGTAATTCTCAGGAGCATGAATCTCATGCAACGTTGAATACATATATGGTAGATTTTTCTATTTCTTTGCACTTGCGGGTTGGTAGGAGGAAGATGCATGTACGTATGTATGTGCTTTGGGGAGCTGTTGCATGTTGGTTTTTCAGAAGTGGGTTTCCATGAGAGAGATTAGAAAAACATGAGGTGAATCTTATTTCCCATGTTTTTGCTGTGCATTTATGCACTATCTTCTTACATTTCACGCAGAGATGCTGTAGCTAGAACATCTAGTTTCAACTGTGCTGGTCTTGTTTTAGTCTAGTAGTCTAACTGCATTTCTTGGTAAATGTTTGATATTTTGTTGATTCTTCTGGCTGGTGTGTGAATCAATATACAAATCTTACCGCTTCGTGGGTTCACTTCCATTAACTACAAATTACAGAACTGTCACGGATTTATTTGAATCTATACAGTATATGAGCTTATTAATATCCTAATGTTCATTCTGCATGGTTGTCATCATTCTGTGACTTGCCTTGCAGGATCTTGGCCTTTCTACCGTTTGGGATGACCATCTATCCTATCTGTTGTCACCAGCATTAGCAGCTTATGAGCTCGAACGTACAACAAGCATTTCTGCTGGAAACGAAGAGTTTCAATAAAGGGTTTCCTATCCATTTCGTGTACAGAAATGCCAGGAGAGCATTTGCCACATGTCTTCGGTAAGTTTAATTGTAAAGATATACATGTTAAAACCAAATAGTAGTAATTAATTATTAATTACAACTAGGTTGGGTTTTTTTAATAATGACATTTAAAGAAAATTAATTTCCTTAAACTAGAACTGGAAGAGTTGTGTAGCATATGTAATGGGTCATGGGGTACAGAGCTTTTATGTTACATCGGTGAGTTCAGTGATGATAGACTTCTCCTGGGTTAAATTAAAGAACGAGGAGTTAATTTAATTTATCTGCACTTCTTAAAAATGATCAGTGATGGTCTTGTTTTCCCCCAAGGCAACAGCCCCTGTGCTGTAGAACAATATTATCATTTGTAAGGACGGACTCATGGCATTTACTGTTATTTGAGTGTTAGTCACATTTGAAATAACTGCACCTATGTAATTGGAAACTTCAATAATAGCTTAGTAATATATTACTTTCGTTTTGTCTTTTTGTCAAATAGGTCTCCTTTTTGTGAAGAAATAATCTATTGTAGGGGAGACCAAGTGCGACTTGCAGTTCGTGTACGAGTGTTTACATACCCCGAATCTGCATGTGCTGTTTGGATTATGTTCGCTTGTAAATACCGCTCTGTCCTTTGAAAAAAACCAACCAACCAAACAAAAAAAACAACCCCCAAAAAACCAAACCAAAACCCCACCAAAATCATTCAGACCTTTTTAGATCTGCAAAATAATGTATGTGGGTATAAATTATGCAATGAAAAACTAACACTGTATTTTGTATAAATGCCACTGATTTTGAATATCACGGTGTGTGTATTGCAGAGAATTGTGTACACAGTAACGATTGTATTTATAAAGAGAATTTATTCTTATTTTTAATAAAAGTTACTTTTAATACTTATCGGAATGTGGGTCAAGTTACTAAAATGCGTGCATAAAATACTAGCTTCTCTTCTGTGGTTCTGAATTGCTGTGAGAATTCATTTAGGAAAAAAGTCTGGTTTACCTCTCCAGGGTCAGAGCCTCTGTTCTACCTCTCCTCTCCACGCAGCGCCCGGTGTGAGTGACTGAGACCCAGAAATACCAGAGTTATAACACAGTGGAAAGTGTCCTTTCCACGATGAAATTTATTTCTGCCTCTCTTGGACCCAGCAATACCTTCTACGTTCAGCTTCTAAGAACAGTTCAGTCAGGTGTAGGTAATCTTGTTAATCTATGAATTTAATAGTTTATGAGGTTTGGGGTTTTCTTAATGTTTAAAATTAAGACTTGGATACCTGAAGATGTGAATAGCTGTGCTGGGTTAGAGAAGGTGGCTTAACCTGCTGCCTTTTTCCTGATGTTGGCTTAGGAAGTTTCTGAGGTAGAAGTTGTAGCCAGGCCATTGTGCTTAACAACCATTTTGTCTAATTCTGACACTCAGGTCCATACTTAATTATCCATCTGTGGGTTGGTTTGTCTTAAACCTGTGGATGATGATTTTTCTGAGTGTCTCTTAGTCTTCCATGCTTGGAGAAAGGGCAAGCAGTTGGACTTAAAACTCCATGCCGTGCCTCTCATGTTTTTCATCATGTGAACTCCAGTCATCTCTCTTTGAGGCTGAAGATCCGAAACTATTTTGATTTCTTCTGTAGAAGCCATTCCATATCTTTAATTATCCATGCCCGCCTCCTTTTGTTCTCCTTGTACGAAAGATCCAACTCTTTCTGCTGGTGCTGGAGCAAAACAAGAAAAACTAATCCTGGAGAAGCTTGCAACACCCAGAGCAGGAGCGAATGCTGGCATTTTGCACGTACGCTTAATCAGCAGTGTGGTGGCGTGACGCTATTTTCATCTTCTTTCCAGAAGTGCTAAATACTGCCTGTTGCAGGCAGCGCTTGGGCTTTTGCTTGAGATTTTAATAGTACGTTATGTACTTACTGGCCCTGCTGCTGAGAGGTTTAAAATACTTCACAAATCTGTTTTTGTGTTACCTTCCTTTCTACTCAGAGAAGATCAAGGTGGATTCGTTTGCCTGTTACACAGCATATGGGACCTGGATCGAAGCTTCAGGCAGTTCTATCTTATTATACCTTGAGAAGCTGGATCATACTGTATGGTGGATGTTGCTAAATGATATAGCTTTATTTAAATACTAGTTGTTTCTTATTTGATCAGTGTGTGTTACGCACATAATATGTCACTGCGAGAGGAAAAAAGCACCCCTGTTCAATACAGCTGAAACACGGAGCAGCAGCTCACTCGTTAGATGCTCATCACAGGCCACCAGGTCCAGCGTCCAGGACTCTGCGTGTGCAGAAGGGGACACCGTGCAATGCTGTCTTGTCATTTATACACTTCAGTCTTCCACATAAAGCAGGTAAAATTGTAGAATACCAAAGAAAACCCATAGAAATGTGTTTTTCTGATATGAGTTTTAAGTCATTCAGTCCCTGCAAGAGGAAGCCGGTACCAGCTCAGGGAGTAGCTGGCGCAGAGTGGGGGTGCAGAGTGCCCTTCTGGTGCCCGGCGCCAGGAACGCCTGTTGTCAGCGATTTGGGCAGACGTTTCCCATTTCGGCCCTTTCCAGGCTGTGCTCGTTCGCCTTGCTCTCGGCCTTGCTGCGTACCCTTGGGGCGCGCCTCCTGCCTCGCTGCTGCGGCGGGGGACGGGAGCTTCCCCGAGGCGGCTCTGCTTCTCTCCGAAAGCCGAGGCGCCCAGGATGGCGCTGGGGGTCAGCGTCCCCCGCTAGCCGCCGGGGGCGCGGGGCGCTGGCGTCCCGCCGGCCGGCTG